GAGAGAGAGTGAGGGGGGGGGGAGAGTGCGCGCGAGAGAGAGAGAGAGCGAGAGAGAGAGAGAGAGAGAGAGAGAGAGAGAGAGAGGTAATTATATGCGCAACGTCACTTTAAAATAAAAAGTAATATGTCACTCACTGATACGAGTCGCAACAGCAAAGTTGTACATCGCTAACTATACAGGGTGGGCCAAAAGTCTGGATACACCCTAATATCTCATAAACTATGCACTTTAGAAAAATATGTTTCAGACAAAAGTTATAAGGCTTAAAAAGACGCATTTAATGATAGTAGTCATTTGACCTGGGATGGCGTTGTTAAGGTCACATAAAGGTCACACCAATTTTTTTAAATGGCATCCCCTATTTTTTATTACATATTCTTGTAGCTAACCTCGAGAGCTTTCCAAAACGCTATAATAAAGTATTTTTTTATTAAGAACTTTTTGAGTCATTAAGGTATGAAAGTTCCAATATTTTGACGTAAATTACAAAATATTTTGTAAAATATTCATTTTTTTATCATCTTACCTTAATACTTTTTTGAACAGAATAATAATACAAATCAACTGGCTCAACAAATCAATAAAAAAAATTTTTTTATTGCTTGTTACAAAATTGTTTGTTTTCTTTACACCAGTTGATTTGTATCATTATTCTGTTCAAAAAAGTATTAAGGTAAGATGATAAAAAAATGAATATTTTACAAGATATTTTGTAATTTACGTCAAAATATTGGAACTTTCATACCTTAATGACTCAAAAAGTTCTTAATAAAAAAATACTTTATTATAGCGTTTTGGAAAGCTCTCGAGGTTAGCTACAAGAATATGTAATAAAAAATAGGGGATGCCATTTAAAAAAATTGGTGTGACCTTTATGTGACCTTAACAACGCCATCCCAGGTCAAACGACTACTATCATTAAATGCGTCTTTTTAAGCCTTATAACTTTTGTCAGAAACATATTTTTCTAAAGTGCATAGTTTATGAGATATTAGGGTGTATCCAGACTTTTGGCCCACCCTGTATACGAGGGCTGATCAAAAAGTTCTGGGACTTTTTGAATAGCGCGCCAACGGAGCATCGGAACAAAACGCGGTTTGCAACACTGTTAAGAGGGATTCCTCCTGAGTACAGCTTTTTTTCAGATAGTTGATAAAACGTTTTGAAGCGGAATAACAGCTGTTTCAGTGAACAAAACTTTTTCGTGTTTGGCGATTTCGTGGTTTTGTTCGTGATGGAAGGTGTTCGAGATTCATTTCTGAATCTCAGTCAGTTCGTCACCGGCGTGATGGCAGCATCAGCCCGGTCGGATCGTGCAGCGCCGCAGGAGCGCTGCGCGCGCATGCCCGATCGCGACACGAGGCGACGGCGCTTCTTCACGTTCGTTACCGGGGCTTTTTGGCTCATGGCAACCGTACCTAGTACACGCGTCGTGTAGTGCTTAAGACTTTTAGAGTGCTCTTGTGGACTTTTCTCATCCGAGAATTGACTCAGTGCGGACAAAAGTGAACACTCAGCAGTGCGAATCATCCAGGACTAAAGATACAGCATCAACGGCAGCTCAAGCTCACCACGCAACGCACGCCGGCGCCGCGTGGACACGGCTCACGGGCATCTACATTCACGAGGCCGGCTATCGATAAATAATATCGACCCGTGCAAGTGATTAAAGACTTCTCATTCCCGTTATATCATAGACTGCTCAACTGTAAGCATTTTTACATTTATTAAACGGTGACACGGTATTTTACTCAAACGACCTGAGTTACGATCACGTGATATTCCACCCTCTCACGCGTGCATCCGTTCCCCGAGTCTCTCACCGCAAAGTCCTCTCACCCTGCTTCCATCCGCAGCGGTAACCAGCGAACTCTCCTCGCGAGATTTGCGAACATTTTTTGGTCCTTCGACCGGATTGCGGCGAGGCTCTCGGACGGATTAGCTCATGGACGTAAAAAATATCTGGACAGAGCGCAATACTGCGGGGTTGAAGTACAAAGGGTGAGAGGAATGAAATGTCTATTGACACGGA